CAAGAACTGGCGGGCGCTCCTCCCAGGACTTGGCGGGGCAACCGTCGCCCGTGGGGCGCTGGACCCCTGGAAAAATGGCCGGGGTCAGCCCAAGAACCGGGCAGCGCGCGAGGCAGCGCAGGGAGTTAGCAGGCTCGCGCGGGCAGGGCCTGGAAAAGCCTGCCTCCGGAGGCCCAGGACGAGAAAAACTACCCCATCGACGTTCTCCGACCCTTTGGACGCCTCTGCCGGCAGCGCGCAGAGGGGCGAGGAGCATCTTCGAGGAGAAGGGAGGGGGAGGAGTGGGGAGGAGGAGGAGGAGGAGGAGGAGGAGGAGGAGGAGGAGGAGGAGGAGGAGGAGGAGGAGGAGGAGGAGGGGGACGAGAAGGCGCCAGGAGGAAAAGGAGGGAGGAGGGAGGAGGAGGAAGGAGGGAGGAGGGAGTAGGATGGGGGGGAGGAGGAGGAGGTGGGTGAGGGAGGAGTGAGAGGAGGAGGAGGAGGAGGAGGAGGAGGAGGATCGCCCAACGGCCAACGGCGCCGAACAGCGCGCCCCATCGCGCACCAAGCGGACAGAAGGCATCTCCCTCACGTGGCGCTATAGGGCGCTATTGGTCGCTGTTGGGCGCTTTTTGAACGCCAGCGCTGCTTACTTAAGCGCTCCTGAGCGCTATGGGGCGCGGCTCGCCGAATGCATCCAATCCAAGACGAGCGGAACCTTCCGTGATGTCCTTGCTGTATAGCCCCCGACAGCCCCAGGTCACGCCCGTCATCGCCACAGAAGCTGCAGAGAGACAGCCCAGCCTGGGCGCCGCCGACGTCTGGGCTAGGGTTCGGTCGGCCCTGTCCCCCTACAGGCGGAGTTTGGACGAAAAAACAAAAATAGGCAAAAACAAAACAAAAAAACAAAAACAAAAAAACTACGGATAAATAATCGAAAAATCGTCACCTGACTATTTTTGAGTCTTCCTCCAGAGGGACATGCCCGACGTAAGGCTGGGGTGCTCACCCCCACCCCGCCCGCCCGCCCGCCTTGGCATGCCCCAGCCGCGACGCGGCCACGGCGAGCGCGTGGCGGTCGCCCCTGCCCGCGAGGCGCCTGCGCCCGGGCCGGAGGAGGCGGGGCCCGAGCTTCGCGCCGCATCGCCAGTGCGTCGGCGATGCATCGGGGACGCCTCAGCGGCGTCGGGGGTGCATCGGCGATGCCAGCGCGAAGCACATCAGGCTCCGCGCCGACCCACATCGGCGACGCATCGGCGATGCGGCGCTCCCCTCCGACCCCATCTTCTCGGACCCCATGCGGGAGGCGTAGACGGTGTGCCATGGGCAGGGGGGGGGCTTCTTCCTCTTGGCTAGGGGGCCACATGCGAACCCTACCCCACCCTCCCCCTCAGAAATCGTGGGGGGTAGGGGTAGGGTTCGCATGTGGCCCCCTACTGGCAGCCTCACGACGTCGCAGTGGCGACGGCGCTGGCTCTGACGCCGCGAGGATCGCTCATCCTTGAGCGGCCGCGGCTTTCCGATAGCGCACAGCTCGCTCGTCCTCCGGGACTCCGGGCCCACTGGCGGCGCTCCGCCTGGCACGCCCCGCGCTCGGGTCGCCGCCGCAGCAGCGAGGCCAGAAGCTGCCGTGCCTGCTCCTCCTCCTCGTCCTCCTCCTCCTCCTCCTCCTTCTCCTCCTCCTCCTCCTCCTTCTCCTCCTCCTTCTCCTCCTCCTCATCGACCTCCTCCTCCTCCTCGACCTCCCCCTCCTTCGTCCTCTGCTCCTCCTCCCTCCACAGTTTTTTCGTCGGCGGCGCGGCAGAGTTTGCCTGCACCAGCGATCGAGCTGAGCGGGGGCACCGGGAAGCGAACTGGCCGGCGCGCAGGAGCGGGAGGAGGGCAGAGGGGGCGGCCGCGGACTCTTCCCTCCACACACGTGTAGGCAGGGCAGGCCAGGCGCTTCGCCTCAAGCCTGCCTCGCCGGTGATGGCCACGAGGCCCGAGAGATCCAGCACCAAAGATGCCTCGGGGGCGGCCCGCGCGCTGGCTGGGATTTCCTGGGTCCTCCGCCAGTGCCCAGTCGTGGGCGCCGTCGTGGGCGCCGCGTGCGCCACACATCGCTTGCACCGCACGGTTTGCACCGCACGCGTTGCGTTGCAGGGCTCGCAACACACAGCTTGCATCCCTCTTTTTCCTCCTCCTCCTCCTCCTCCCCCTCCTCCTCCTCCTCCTCCTCCTCCTCCTCTCCTCCTCCTCCTCCTCCTCCCCTTCCTCCTCCTCCTCCTCCTCCTCCTCACTCCTCCTCCTCCTCCTCTTCCTCCTCCTCCTCCTCCTCCTCCTCCTCCTCGCTCCTCCTCCTCCTCCTCCTCCTCCTCCTCCTCCTCCTCCTCCTCCTCCTCCTCCTCCTCCTCCTCCTCCCTCCTCCTCCTCCTCCTCCTCCTCCTCCTCCTCCTCCTCCTCCTCCTCCTCTCCTCATCCTCCTCCTCCTCCTCCCTCCTCCTCCTCCTCCCCTCCTCCTCCTCCGCCTCCTCCTCCTCCTCCTACTCCTCCTCCTCCCCTCCTCTCCTCCTCCTCCTCCTCCTCCTCCTCCTCCTCCTACTCCTCCTCCTCCTCCTCCTCCTCCTCCTCCTCCTCTCCTCCTCCTCTCGTCCTGCTCCACCCCCTCCTCCTCCTCCTCCTCCTCCTCCTCCTCCTCCTCCTCCTCCTCCTCCTCCTCTTTCCTCCTCCTCGTTTCTTCCTCCTCTTCCTCTTCTCCTCGTCCTCCTCCTCTTCCTCGTCCCCTCTCCTCCTCCTCCTCCTCCTCCTCCTCCTCCTCCTCCTCCTCCGCCTCCTCCTCCTCCGCGAGCTTGCACCACATGGCAGCCAGGACCACACGACCCGGGCCGCACAGCTTGCGCCGCAGGGCGTGCATCACAGAGCTTGCAATACAGGGCCTGTATCACGTGGCTTCCCCCGCACGGCCAGCTCCACAGCGCTTACACCACATGGCATTGCACCATACTGATTCTCGAGAAGACTCCACCACCCTCCCGAACCTATACTGATTCGACCCCCTTATGGGGCGTTGCAGATTCCATTGGATTCTGAATCGACATTCCAAGCGGACAATTATCGCGGACCCCCTCACCCGTGTCAGGTAATACCATGCGGGCACACTCGCTTATCTCGAAAGTGATGAATCAAGAACCTCTTGCAAAAAAATGCACAATCCACGCGCACACACGTCAAAAGCATCCCAAAAACATCCGTGTTGCTAACATCCCACCTTTTTTAATTTATATATATATATATAAACAAGAAAGCGCCCTGGCGAAGGACCCAACCATATGCAATTGTGAGCGCCGAACTTGTGTGAATATCACTGTCAGTGGAGCTCCCCATGGGCCCACGGGCCACGAAAGGCGTGAGGAGTGCGCCGAAGTGGGCCTCGGGGCGCACGCGAGCCCTGCCACTCGGGCCTTCGGCGGACCTCCCAACGGAGCCGTGAAGCGTGCGAGGGGTGCGCCGGAATGGGCGAGGGTTTCGGTAGACCTCCCTCTGAGTCACGAAACGCGCGAGGGTTGGGTGTCGCCGCTGCGCGGATACGACGCGCACCTGCCTAATGCGGGCCCCAACAGATTTCCAGGCGCCGAGGCCAAAGCGCCTCAGCGGAAGGAGGATGGAGGAGGGGGAGGAGGAAGGAGGAGGGGGAGGAGGAGTGAGGAGGAGGGGGAGGAGGAGGACGAGGAGGAAGAGGAGGACGAGGAGGAGGAGGAGGAGGAGGAGGAGGAGGCGGAGCAGGAAGAGTCCGGCGCCCAGGGTCGGTCTCCCGAAGGCCGGCCGTGCATTGCACACGCCCAGCCACCGAACTACCGCCCGGAAAGCAGCAACAGCTGCGCAGGAAGGGCATAAGGGGTGACCACGTCGCCTGTGAAGACTCGCGGCCCAGCGGTTCCGACATGGTGCGTTGAGAGCCAAAGGCATCCCAGTCGGAACAGCTGGCACGGCATACTGAGGAGCACAAGCTCCCCAGCCCTGGGTGGGCACAAGGCCCCTTGGGACTCACGTGGCGCAAGCCACCGCCTCCCGAGGAAATGCCGATCCCTGAGGGTCAGATCACAATGGAATGACCGCACAGGCGCCGCCACCCGCCTTCATCAGCAGGGCCAGACTGAGACTGGGGCCGTGCTACACCCAACGACAGGAGACCCGTCGACACAGGTTTCGCAACGTCCACCCCAAGCCCCAGAGCCCGCGTCTCCAGAAAAATCGGCCGGTTGGACCCCACCTACCCTGCGAAATAAGTGCCGTGTACAGTGTGCACCGAGGGTGCTCGGCACTGACACTATTAAAACACGTGCCAGGCCTCACCGGAGGGGCGGTGGAGGAGGAGGAGGAGGAGGAGGAGGAGGAGGAGGAGGAGGAGGAGGATAAAGGAAGGAGGAGGAGTAGGAGGAGGAGGAGGACGAGGAGGAGGAGGAGAGGGGGGAGGAGGAGGAGGAGGAGGAGGAGGAGAGGAGACGAGGAGGACGAGGAGGAGGAGGAGGAGGAGGGGAGGACGAGGAGGACAGGAGGAGGAGAGGAGGAGGGGAGATAAGCAGGAGAGGATGAGGAGGAGGAATAGGAGAAGGGAGGAGAAGAGGAGGGGGGATGAGAGGAGGAGGAGGAGGAGAGGAGGAGGAGAGGAGGAGGAGGAGGAGGAGGAGGGAGAGGAGGCAGCCGGGGGGAGGAGGAGGAGGAGGAGGAGAGGAGTAGGAGGAGGAGGAGGAGGAGGAGAGGAGGAGAAGGAGGAGGATGAGGATGGAGGATGTGGAGGAGGAAAGGAGGAGGAGGAGGGGAGGAGGAGGAGGATATGAGGGGGAGGAGGGAAGAGGGGGAAAAAAGAGGGAAGAGGGACGGGGGGGAGGAGGAGGAGGAGAGAGGAGGAGAGGAGGAGGAGGAGGAGGAGGGGGAGGAGGGGGGGAGGAGGAGGGGGGAGGAAGAGGATGAGGAGGAGGAGGAGGAGGAGGAGGAGGAGGAGGAGGAGGAGGCCGAAGAAATGGAGGAGGAGGAAGAGGAGGCCGAAGAGGAGGAGAAAGAGGAGGAGGGCCCTGGCGCCTCAGCGCGGCCACCGCGGCGCGCCGGACCGCGGCGCAGTCGTCTTCGAGGCAGGCACCCGCCACGCCGATCGCGTAGCCGTCGCCCCTCGCAGCCACGCGGGGCAGGGCGCCCAGGGCAGCCCTCCTGAGGGGGGAGGACCTCCCCTCTGCCTCCTCCTCGAGCCTCCTGTCGGCGGCGGGCGAGGGGGGGACTGAGAAGGAAGAGGCCTCTCGGCCACACGCAAGAGTGACCCTAGGCAAGAGTGACCTTTGGTGCGCGGCTGGGGGGCCTCGGGGCCAACCCCACGCGCGCAAGACGCTACTATCGCGTCGCGTTCGGCGATCGGGAGATACCAGAGGGCCCGCACCAAAGGTCGCTCCGGCGAAGGGTCACCCTTAGGTGTAGTCGAGCCTTCTCGGAAGGCGGCGGGCTTCTCGGAAGCCCTCCCACCGTCTGCGAAGTGTCCTGTGTCTTCGGCGAGGGCTCCGAAAACCTCTCGCAAGGCCCGAGGACTTCCGAGCCTTCCGAGGAGGCCCGTCCCCTCTCGCTTCCCCACTGGGCTGGCCGCCGATCCTGCCCCCGGCCCGAGGGCGCCGGCTTGATGTACGCACAGATCCCAGCCAGGCCCACCTCGGGCCGAGGATCGGCGTGTGCGCCCTCCTGGCCAAGCCAGGGGGGCCTGGCCAGAGTCGGTGTCGGTGTGCGGCTGGCGCCTTGCAACGTGGGGAGGGAGGAGGAAGGAGGCGGAGGAGGAGGAGGAGGAGGAGGAGGAGGAGGAGGGATGAGGAAGGAGGCGGAGGAGGAGGAGGAGGAGGCGGAGGAGGAGGAGGAGGAGGAGGAGGAGGAGGAGGACCAGTGCAGACCCAAGACGAATCAACGATGTTGCAACATACCCTCCGTCCAACGTCACTCTTCACAGGTCCCTACGAGAACATGTCTTCATTGCGGGAAGCGCCCCATTGGAAGACAACCGTCTGAGTCCTCAATCGTGCCAAAACACCGTTCCTGGGACGTCAAAGGCGCGAACCAACGTCACTGTTGCGCCCTGACAATCCCAAAACGCGCCAGAACACCATTCCCAGGACTGCAACACCACGAATGAACGTGTTCGCTGCGTCCCGACAATCCTGAATCGTGCCTAGGATTCAAACAATACGAACCTTTGAAACAGCTGAAACATTTAAAACGAATGCGCGCAACGCTAGGGCGAGAACAACATTTTGAAAACCACCCGCCCTCCATCCGTGAAACTGCTGCTGTTGCAAGCTGTCAAGACAAATGCGCGCGGCGCTAACGCGAGAGCCGCATTTTGAAAAGCACCCGCCCTCCATCCGTGAAACTGCTGCAAACTTTGAAGGACACATTCGGGCGGCGCTAGGGCGAGAGCCACATTGTGAAAACCAACCACCCTCCCTCCATCCTTGAAACCCATGTTGAGACGAATTTGCGCGGCACAAAAAGCGAGAGCCACATTGTGAACACCACCCGCCCTTCATCCTTGAAACTGCTGCAAACTGTTAAAACGCGTGTGCGCGTCGCTGGGGCGAGAGCTTCACTTTGAAAACCACCCGTCCTCCATCCACCGTTCAAAATGCTGCTGCAAACTGTTAAAGACGAAAGCGCGCAGAGCGAAAGCGAGAGCCACCTTTTGAAAACCGCAAGCCCTCCATCATTGAAACAGCTGCAAACTTGTAATGTCGAGTGCGCGCGGCGCTAAGGCGATGACCACGTTTTGAAAACCACCCGCCGTCCTCCATCCTGGAACCTGTTACAAATTCTAAATTTCAGGATCATGCATGGTGGAGGAGTCTCTGGCGAAACGCCTGGCCCACCCTAGCGGCACGTCTGGGGGTGCGACGGGGAGGAGCTCTCTATCAGGAAAACGGATGGAGGAGGAGAGGGAGGAGGAGGAGGAGGAGGAGGAGGTGGAGGAGGAGGAGGAGGAGGAGGAGGAGGAGGAGGGACGGACGGACGGACGGACGGACGGACGGACGGACGGACGGACGCGGATACCGGGGCCGGGAGCGGCCGCGCGCCGCGAGGGCGACGGCGGGGGGGCCGTAGCCCGTAAGATGTGCAAATGCGCGTGTGGAACCCGAACTCAATGGGCTCTCCTCAGCTCTGTTTTGTTGTCGGGTTGGAGCTTTCACCAGTAGCAGGAGCCTCATCGGATTGCCTTGTTCCCGGAACCACGCTGCTGCCCTTGTGTGGCTTGTCCGTAGCCTTGGGCGGTGAACTCCTGACTTGTTTCTTCAAGATCTCATCAAACATGTTGTCACATTTGCAAGGGAACGTGTGAATCGACGTCAACCCCAAATCCTCTGCTGTCATATCAGTCGCTATATCGAACAACAGATTTCCAGAATAGAACGAAAATGCGAGGTCGTCGGATTCACCATTGAGCCCCAAATAGGATTCGACAACCGTTCCGAGATGAGTCCGCGAGCCAGCTCTCAAGAAGCATAATTGCTTTCTCTCCTTCTCAATGCAAAGCATAATTGTTTCCGGGGGATCTCCATCATGTGTCACGTCCGTATCGTTATCGCCTGGCCAGTCCGAGACGATGTGGATGACACACCCTCACCGGGTGGAGCCGTTTCGCTGTCGCAGAAAGCGTCGGCAGCTCTTTGAAAGTTGCCAAGCCGAAGGAAGCAGAGTCGGATATCGCGTTGAACCTGCTGCTCCAAATAATCGACACCTTGATCTGGGAGATCATTATGTACAGATCCCTGCGAACATATCAATCCTTCAAAGCAAGTTGCAGCGATTGGCCAGCCATCTGCCAGAAAACACGTAGACTCTATCTCGCGCGCCCGTTCCAACAACGTTCCAATCAATTGTGCTAGTGCGCTGCCGATGATAAACCCAACACTATCTTCCAGGGAAGAAGCATCCCCAGAGATCATGATATCGCGGTGCTTTGCGATGTCTCTGATCGGAAGCTCCTCTGGCTGCTGTGTGGGCCGCGGAAGCTTCGCCCTGCAAGTGACTGATGAAGGATGGTTCTCCTCAGCGGCGTTCGAAATTTCAGGCATGCGTATAGTCGCACCAGGATGAAGAGCGTGTGCTAACACGTCATGAACTTCAGAAACAGGATTGACCAGATTTGAGCAAGTGTGTGAGTATCGCGCTGTGTCCCGCAGCATGACGAACAGCAACCCTTCGATCTCGCAATTTCCGACGGTTGCTTCGTGACGGTGGATTCGTTCCAGACCCAGTATTCACACAAGGATGCACGTCAAAGGCGGCGCAAGGCGAGACCGTAGCCATGGGTGCAAAATGCAAGCAATGAGAGGGATGCCTGAGCCAATATTGAGCCAATATTGAGCCAATATTGAGCCAAAATGGCTACGGAGGAGGAGGAGGCGCAGGAGAAGGTGGAGGAGAGGCGGCAGAGGGGGAAGAGGGGCAAAGGGGGGAGGCGGGGAAGGAGTTGGAGGAAGCAGAGGAGTAGGAGGAGGGAGGAGGAGGAAGAGGAGGAGAAGGAGGAGAAGGAGGAGGAGGAGGAAGGGGGAAGGAGAAGGAGGGAGGAGGAGGAGGAGGAGGAGGAGGAGGAAAGGAGGAGGAAGAGGAAGAAGAGGAGGAGAAGGAGGAGGAGCGGAAGCAAGCGGAGGAGGAGGAGGAGGAGGAGAAGACGTATCCATTGAGTGCCAAGAGAAAGAAGAGGAGGAGGAGGAGGAGGAAAAGGAAAGGGGAAGGGGAAGAGGAGGAGGAGGACGACGACGAGGGGGAGAAGGAGGGAGGAGGAGGAGGAGGACGAGGAGGAGGAGGAGACAGGGGGAAGAGGAAGGGAAAGGGGGAGGAGAAGGAGGAGGAGGAGGCAGGGATAGCAGGAGGAAAGGGGGAAAGGAGGAACAGGAGGAGGAGGAGGAGACAGAGGAGGAAGAGGAGGAAGAGGAGGAGGAGGAGGAGGACCAGTGCAAACCCAAGCCCCATCAACGATGCTGTAATAAACCCTCCCTCCAAACTCCCCCTACATAGGCTCCCACAAAGATCGATTTGCACTTCGGGGAGAGCCCCTTTGGAAGACAACCGTCTGAAAAAAATCAACCGTGCCACCGCACCATTCCTGGGGGTTCAACGCCGCGAATCAATGCTCTTGTTGCGACATGACGATCCGAAACCACTTCAAAACACTAGTTCTAGGACGTCCACACCGCGAATCAACTTGACTTTGCGCCCTGACGAATCTAAATCGTGATAGAGCACCGCGTCTGGGAAGTCAACCGTAAGAATCCTTAAGACTGCTGTAGACTGTTGGCACAAGTGTGCGCAGCACTAGGGCAAGAGCCACATTTTGAACAGGAGTCACCTCCACCCGTCAAACGGCTGCAAACTGTTAAGACGAATATGTACGGCGCGAAGGCAAGAGCCACGTTTTGTAAACCACCCGCCCTCCACCCTTGAAACTGCTGCACACTGTTAAGACGATCTTCCACGGCGCTGGATCGACAACCATATTTTGAAAACAGCCCGCCCTCCATCCGTGAAGCGATTGGATCACCCTCCATCCGTGAAACCCATGCCAACTGTTAAGACGAATGCGCGCGGGGCTAAGGCGACAGCCACATTTTGAAAACCACCCGCCCTCCATCCGCGAAGCTGTTGTAAATTTCAAGAATCACGATCATAAGTAATGGATACGTCGCAAACAAAACGCCCGGCCCGCCCTACCGACCCGTCGCGGGGTGCGACAGGGGGGAATTGCTCATACGGGAAATGGATAGAGGAGGAGGACAAGGACAACGACGACAATGAGGGAGGGGAAGAAGGATGGAGGAGTAGGAGGCAAGGGGAAGAGGAAGAGGAGGAGGAGGAGGAGGGAGGGGAAAGAGGAGGAGGAGGAAGAGGAGGAGGAGGAGGAGGAGGAAGAGGAAGAGGAGGAGGAGGAGGGGAGGAGAAAGGGGAAAGAGGAGGAGGAGGAGGAGGAGGAGGAGGAGGAAGAGGAGGAAGAGGAGGAGGAGAAGGAGGAGGAGGAGAAGGCTGGCGGCCAGGGCACGCGGCGCGCCCCGCGCGGGCGAGCGCGTCCCGCGGCGGTTTGCTTCGAGTGCCTCGGGTTTTTTGCTTCTGGAGTCGGGGCCCCCTGGGGCCGGAGGAGGACGAAGGGGCCCTGGGGCACACCAATAAATACACACCAATAACAG